GAGAATTTTTGACAAAGGTGAGTCAATATGGAATCTGATCTTTTTATCTTTTAGTTTCCAAAATGATATACCATACCATAATATTACTGAGCCACTAAACTTTTTAATAATCTGTTATAAAATAAAATAAAATTTTCAGATATATGGAATGACCTGAAGGTACAGTGATGCACTGATGCTTAATGCTCTGACATGAAATGACCACAAAAGCAACAAAAATTGTGTCCTGCTTTTTACTTCTCAATCATTAAAACATATAGTCATTTACTTCCGAAGAGGTTCTTTTTTGAGGGGGAAAGAAAATTATCATGACCGTTTGTTCTTCATATACATTGGCTCCCTTGTTCTTCTTTGCCTTTCTCCTTCTCTCTCCATGCTTTTACGTTATCCTTTACTTTCTCTCTCCACCGTAGAGAAGTCAGAAGCACCTCAAAATAACTTTCACGTTGAGACAACTTTTGGCTCAAAAGTCCTCCTGCCGTTATTGTAACAACACTCAATGCTGGCATGCCCTCCAACTCACGTCACACACTTCCCAACGCAGTTTTGCTCCTCCGACCCCTAATACGATCACGCCCAATGAAATTATTGCCTTTATTCAATGATTTGAGCGGCCACTTTTTTTTTTTTTTGGCCAAAGATTTGAGCGGCCACTTGGAGTTTGGCAGATCCTCATAAGAAACCTTTTCATCTCTAAAATGATGGCATCAATAATTATGAATTGGTTAAAGGAATGCTTATGGGCGTACGTCATTCCGATCGAATATGTTTGTTGGCATATTCAAGTCTTGGGGACTAGCAAGTTGAGGTGATTATATACAAAAACGTGTTATATTCCAATTTAATACTCCTTCTGTACTTATTATAAGGGACAATTATGAAGCATATCATGTTTGTTTTTATAAGAGACACTTGGATGCTGTCTCAAATTTTATTTATTGATTTTTCATTTTATCCTTATTTAATTACTCATATCACTGTATTTAATTCTCACACATTGTCTCTCTTTCACATAAATAAGAGTATTTTTGGCAAAAATATTACACATTGTACACATTTATTGTCCTCAATTAATTTTAACTAACATTTTGAATTATAAAAAAAAATAGGAGTATAGAACAATATCTTCGCTGATTTAAAATTTGTTTGGTTTCTTATTTTGAAAACAACTTTTTATTTAAAAAAATAGAAAAGCAAAAAACTTTGTTTTGTAATTTATTTTTAGTTAATTGTTTTAAAAAAACAAAAAAGAGTAACATATTTTTAAAAACTAGAAAACCTAAACAACTTTTACATTTTTTTTTTGTATTTTTGTATTTTTTGTTTTGAAAAATTTTGAGAAATTTTTTTTCCTTCTCACCTACTATCTACCATTTATCATTACTAGTGACAACTATCACCTATTAAATGTAATTTTTTATAGTTTTCTTTTCAAACATAATTTTTTAAAATTACTATCCAAACAAAGTTTTTTGTATTTGTTTTCAAAACTTGTTCTACGAAACAATCTTATAGAATTGTTTCGAAAACAAAAAAACAAAGAACAAAAGCAAACGGGTAAGTCCTTTATTTAGAAACCTACCCAATCATATGTTAATATCAAATTTTCGCATTTATTGTTTTCCAACTCCTTTATTCTCATTTGATGTGAGTAGCGCATAATTTTAGAAACCTACCCAATCATATGTTAATATCAAATTTTCGCGCGTACATTAGGACATTGATTTTCTTTTTTTTTTTTGGAGGAGTCAAACCATTAAAAAAAAAACCGAGAGAAAGAAAAAGAAGAGGAGAAAAGATGCACCACAAAAGTAATTTACTTTGAAATCATTTGTTAACAAAACATAGGAGAGTTAATTAACATCCAGCACCTAGAAACATTTTTTTAGTAAGGCTCTAAAGAAATTTTTAATACATCCAGTACTTTAAAATATTTTTCTAATAGCACTCAATATCCTAAGTTCAGGGTGCTTATTGCTACTGAGAAAAATATTTTCAAAGTAAAATTACACAAAAAATTACCTTAAAATACTGAATGATATTGGAAAAGTACTTTTGGATAGTTAATGTATCAAAAACTAGTTTGGCAAGTTGAAGTTACTTAAAAATACTTCAATGTGTCAAACGCAACTTAATCTTAAATCATATGTATCAAATCCTGTCATTATTTATGAGCCATTGACTTCTAAATTATGACATGGTGATTGATATCCTATGAATTACGCATAAATTGCCAAATGCGAGACCAAAATATTTATTAAAAATTGAAGTAAAGATACAGAGATACAACAATCATTTATAATTGGCCTCTATTTTTCAGTAAAGCATATGCTTGCTTGGTCTAAATAAAGACCTTAAATAATATGTTGAGTAAATAATATCATAAAAAAGATGAAATTGCAGAAACAAAAATATGACTATCGGAAAAAATGAAATCACAGAAATGAAGCTGGGGACCCACTTTATGCCATGGTCATATGTCACGAAGAAGGCACTACTGAATGCTATCATCATGCTTGTTATAGACATGAAGAGAGTTGCCAATCCAAATATCACCTTTGAGGGAAGAGACTTGTGAAAGTCATACTCTGCATAACGTGAGATAAGGATAGACAAGAAGACTAGTATGGAAGCTGAAGATGAGATCAATGCAATAGCATCCGACACTGCAAATATCATAAATGATGGTTTCCATAAATAATTTGGAGTTCCAGAACTATCATTGATGCCACCTGGTATGCTAAATGCAGCTGAAAACACTCCGGTGGCAATAAGAGTTGAAACAACCATACAAGAGTTCGCTGTTCTCTTCATCCATGACTCAGCATGGTTTCTCAATGATGTGTGCTCCTTGGTGAACAACTCCCGAGGAGTTTCACCATTTGAGTTTTCCATATTCACATATGATGGTAACACTACCTTCCTTACCTCCTACCATGTCAAAAGAATGTTAAAAAAATTAATTCATGTATATATTCTAGCCATGGGATCACGTAAAGCATATCATATTATTAAGACAGACACGCACCTCAAACCATAATAGCTCAAACTTCATTTGAAAAGCTGCCCCAGAGACCAATTCAAGTCGATCAGCTGGTGCTAACTTTGCAGCCAAATGTAATATATTGTTTCCATCATCGTTGTCTACATATGACAATATTATATCCTTATTTGCACTTATATCACGGATGAGATTGAAGATGTTAGGATGACGACGTGAAACAGCAATGTGAATTATGCTTCGCTTTTGGCTGTCCAACTCCCATACCAAATCAGGGTAAGATCTCAGAAGCTCGGCTAAGAAATCAAAATTTCCAACTTTTGTAGCATCAAATAATAGTCGTGATGGCTCATTTATGATCTTTCTTATATCTTGCTCTGAGTTTACAAGCTTGAGAATTCCTAGCCAGAGGGAATGAACAAGTTGAAGAGCAACACCGTTCTTCATCCCTAGGATACATGTTGATGATTTGAATAAGTTAATGTTAAGCAATATGTTGGGGCAGTTTGTGATTTTAGCCATAATGTACACACTAAATATAATGATTATTAGAAAAAAATATTGATACGTATAACAAGTGTTACGACTAATTTTCTAGTCTTCGTAACAAGTAATTATAGTGGCTAATTATTACCTAAACTTGTTAGTTGATTTTGACGTCCAAGACTATGATGACCCGAATCTGTTGTCTTTTGAGCCATGATATGCAAACCTGTCAAACCTCGTTCAGTTGTTGCTAATGCCAGTTCTGGCTTATCCCCCAACATTTTCAACGCTAAATCTAACAAATTTCAAAATGTAGTCAAAAAATGCATATATAGATGCTAAAAATAGATGTTGTCACAAAATTTAATAAGCAATATAGAGCTATATATATATATATATATATATATATCAAGCTAAGAAACTTTGCAGAACAGTTTTTGTTTTATACCTTTAGTATGCATCAAATATGAACTTACTATAAGGACTTACCATAGATACCAGTGTCGATGCAAGTGAGGAATAACTTATTCCACTCTGCTTCATCGAAGGTTTCAATAGTCTTAGGATACAAATACCATGCTACATCGGCTCTTCCTTGCTGTGCAGCAAAAAGAAGAGGAGTGAAACCATTTCCACCTCTAATTTTTGGCAAGGAAGAGTTCTTTTCCCACATTAACTTAACAATATCCAAGCTTCCTGCTGCTGCAGCAAAGCAGAAGGCAGTGTTTCCCCTAGAGTCTTGTAAAGCCAAGTCATTCTCGTCCATCAAGTTCACAAGCTCCTTCACAAATTGAAAATGGCTAGCTCCTGCTGCTACATGAAGTGCTGTTGGATATCCTTTTGCTATGGCAGCATTCACTAGCATTCTGTTATAATCTAACAACATGGGCTTGGCTTTCTCCCAATTGCCTTCTAATGCATATTTGTAAAGAGGCACGCATAAGTTTATATAGTTGAATCTGGCCTCCCCTGAAACAAAGTTGAAATTTTTCGGTTTTTTGGTTGATCAGCTTTAACTTGAGTGATGTATAAGAGTAATTAATCTTGCATAGATTTCTAACCCTCATGGTGTAATATCCCAAATTTTATAGATTTGAGTAAAGCATGATGAAGGAGAAATTTTTAGAGAAATTATTAAGATTAAGACCTTTCAAATATGGTCTGAATAATCATAAGTTAATTTCAGAAATTTAGGACCTATTTTCTTGAAAAATTCAAGAAAAAATAGTTAGAAGATAATATTTGAGCTGAGATTCTTAGGATTATTTTTTGGACTAAAGCTAATGGAAGAAGAAAATTCATATAGAAATCCAGGTGTGATTTCTGGAATTATTTTTTTATCCAAAAAAAAAAAAGCAGAGAATGATCAAATTGAAGAGAAAATGAAGACCAAAGGACAAAATGGTCATTTCACATCCCTCATCCATCTAATACCTAACACATCCTCCCTTCTCATTTTGCTCTGCCATTCGAAGGGAAAACAAAGAGAGAGTTGAGAGACTTCGAGATAGATCAAGAAGAGCAAAGGCAATCGGAGGAGAGAATCGATTTATACCAAAGTGGAAATCAAACAAGGTGAGTCTCCTGAATCTTCTTCCATCTCTATTTTCTGTTATTTGGTCATGTGTTGCAAGGCGATGATGAAGATGAAATCTGGTTTTTGAGGGAGAAAGTGAAGAGTATGACAGCCAAGCTATAGAAATCGTGCTGAATGGTTAGAATGAAGTTTGTGGTTGAGATTTCTGCACTTGCTTTTTACAGTTGATTGCTCTGGTTATAGTTTCTAAAACAGGGGTTTGAGGATTTAAGGAAATGGCTTCTGGTTTGGGTAATAGCTGATTAACGAGTCTAAATATAACTAATTATTTTTTGGTTGATGATTATAATATGTTGACTTTATATGCTCTGTGTGGTTATTGAGGGATTGGAGAGGGTGTGCTTTGAATAAGGAAAATTCCAGACTTACTGATGGAAGGACGCTGTTCGATTTTGCTGGTGAAGAAGCATTTGAATGCTAAACGCATGAGCTATAAATATATATATATATATATATATATATATATAAAACAAAGCCTTTTGAGACCGGAGCATTGGGAGAAAGAATTGGGCTCTTTATATATTCTTTTAATTTTGGCTCCACATTCTGAATTATAGTGAACAGATTTTCTTAGAGTTAAAATGGAAAAGTAATGCCAAAATCTAGAATTTTCAAAAGCGAAGGAAATTGTTGAGATTGGGAACTAATTAAAGCATGATATGTATGTATATGTTTGGTGTTTATCTCAGCAATGTTGATGTTATAACTTGAGGGATGAAACTAAATCCCATAGTATTAATTATGTATACCTGATTGATAGAGCAATCTGGAATTTTTGAAGGAATGGTGTAGAGGGTGAATATATATAAATATATATATATATATATAATGAGGAATAAAAATAATGTTTAGTTGAAGGTTGATACTGGGAAAATTTAGAAACAGTGGCAGAATGGTGCTGTTCGAACTATAGTAGGTGTTTGGGGTGTCTAAATGCAAAATGTTTAAATAGGAAGTTTATAGGCTTATGTAAATGTTATATTATAGATATGTATGTCAAATAGGAGTCTTAAGAGGATGGAAGTTAAATGTGATGCCCCGTTAAAACGATCATAAAGGATTTAAATTATAAGGAATGTGTTAATTTGTCAATGTAACGCTCCAGATGAATATCTAGATATATATATATATATATATATATTAATCTGTCCTTGCTCAAATAATTTATAGGATTTGATATTTGTTTGAATCCATTAAGAAAGGAGCCAAGAAGGAGACAAGGGGAAGGGAGTACGGAAGATAAAGTAAAAGGTAGTAACTCTTTTCCTTTAATGTGATTGTGCATTGATTGCCACAGGTTTGGATGTGCCTTTATGCTGATTGTACATAAGAACATGTAAGTTGCCTTTGCATGATAATATTTGTGATGACAATATGCGTTGGTTTTCATTTATTTTGGAATGTGGGCGTGATAGATAGCGATTGACTATATGGACGTATGGTGTATGTGCATCATTAATTATATTTGGATGCAAGGTATTGTTCTGTTTGGCCTGGGTAGCACATTGTTTGTGATTTTGTATGATTACGTAAAGGAAATTTGTTACTACTGAGATTTTTTAGAATTTCACCCCTTCTTCCATGTAACATAGCAAGAGCAAGTACTTCTAAGGGCAAAGGAGTAGTGATCGGTGGAGTTTGAAGGTGCAGGAAGCTGGCGATCTTTTGTGTATATATATTTTGCTTAAAATGCATCTTATTTTGAAGTGAAGATATATTGCATATCTATTTTGGTATGTAAATATTCCTCCATAAGGAGATGGTTAAGGGTAGATAAACCATGATAACTACTATCGAAAGAAATGATCAATATTTTGATATATAGTTATTATTTTGTCTAAAATTATGTGTATCTGTATATGTAACTTGTTGTATGAGCCTATGGCTAGAATATTGAATGTGAGATCCTACTGGCTATAATTGATTTGCTATAGGATCCAAAAGGCTGGGTGGAAAAAGAATGAGTTTGATGGTTGAATACGAACCATGGGTCTTAGATGGTTTTTACCGTTTTTGTAAAAAAGTTAAATCGGGTACTCAAACCAATAGACAGATTACTTTGAAAGCGAATTTTTGAAAAGTCTAAAACTTTTCAGAAAATCCCATTCCTTAAACAAGATCAGACTTTGTGCTTGGGACTGTAAAAAAAAAAAAATGTTTTCCCTAAGATTGGAACCTCGCTTTTAATGATTCAAGATTAAATCAAATAACTCTATTGGTGTATAAAGGATAGTCGTGACACATGGCATATCTGTTGAAATAACAAGTTTTTGGTTAAACTAAAAGTTTGGATGATGAGCTAAGTTTTGAGAGTTCACCGAGAACATAACAAGCCTCACTGTTCAAAAAGTAATTTGTATTTACAAATTACGTACCATCAAAAAGTTTGGATGATGAGCCAACAAGTATTAATAAATATACCAGTCTGTATTTAATATTGGAACAACGTTTGTTCATAATTGGGGGGAGAAAGTCATTTTCAGAAAGAGGAAAAAAAAAACACCAAGAAACAATGGGGAAAATAGTAAAGAAATTGCTTCATTTTGTCCTAATTAAGTCTTGCAATTAGAAAGAAGCCCATATGGCCAGCCACCTAACTATATATGGAATTACATGCATTATACTTTATTAGGTAAGAGGACTCCATCATTTTCCTTACCACAATTGAATCAAATTTTGGCAACAGGAACCACAAATAAGTGAACACAACAGTTTTTTTTTATTAAGAAAAGAAAAGAAGAGATTTTATCAGAGAGGTTGAAGAGAGTAGTTACTTGTATCCTCCAAGAGATGAAGGGAAGGCCTCCTAAAATTAGCTGAATCAACCCTCCGTATAAATTGGATGTGATTAGGCCCTTCAGGAGTACCCATTGGATGTTCATTTGGCGCATCCATTTATCTGCAAAACCATACACGTTAACGCTCCCGCAGCTTTCTATGCATTTGTATTGATTTCTGCATTTTCTGGTTTAGTTTTTCTACTAACAATTGTGGGTCACGAGTCTAATACATTCATATCGAATCCAAGAAGAATTGTGCTCTTCATTATTTACAAATATTTCATGATCATAACTTTTGCATATACTCTATATATTTTGTACGAAGCTCGAGATGAGTTATACTGTTTATGGCTTATCAACTTCTAAAGATATATAATAAAAATGTAAAGAAACAAAGCACTTTAGTACTCTATAGATATTTTATATATTATGATTAACTAAATGCTTATGTTTCTATTGATATAAAATATGCTTATATTAAAACTTATGATAATTATTATGAGAAATAACGTTATTTTTAAAAATTCCAAATGAGTTGATAAAGTAAACGGGACACAATTGCATTCACAGTTCGCAGACACTATGATAAGGATGTTGGGATGAATTATTCAATTATTGATGATGACAAATTGATTAATTGTGTTGACGCTGAAATTAAGCAATTTCAAGGAAGCAGCTTCGGTCCCACTGATACCTTTCGAACCAAGGAACCAGTTTTAGTACTCATCATTTTGATGAGCACTCTAAGCTCATCAGATCTGGACCATCTGTAGTTGAGCATTATTCTATCTTATTGGTGGAGACATCTCTTCCTCCAAAATATTAATTTCATCTGCAAATGCTCGTTATCAAATTGTTCCATAGATGTGTGTGTGTATACATATATTTGTTATATTCTAAACATAAGAGTTAAAAATTAATTAATTTACCAAAAAAAGGAAAATAGTTATATTTATTAAATATTGTTAATTTTCTTAAAATCTCTCCTTTAATCTTTTTTTCCCAACAAAATATTTTTGTTAATCATTTGCACTAGAAACAATCCCTATTGATGAAACTTCCTTTAGAGATATAATATGGGGAAAAATTATAAATTTGAAAGACAAAATAAATTAAAGTCTTATATTTAAAATTAAAGCAAGTATTTCCACTAACTCATACATTCAGGATATTGTTAAAAAAAACTCATACATTTAGGACTACACGAAGTATTACATATAAACTTAAATAATTTAAATAATTTAACCATCAAGTACTAATAAGTCATGTATTTCTTTGAATTAAAAAAAATCTGCATAATCCGGCAAAAAATTATACCTGGTTGTCGATGGAAAGAGGAAATCTTCCTCTTACGGCACTTGCCTATGAACAACCACCTTCTTTAATCAAACGGTTAGTTTCCTGAGGGGAAAATATTAGAATATTAATGACTCTTAGATTGTATGCATAGAAAATAAGATTTAAATGATTTGAATCATATTTGAAGAGAGGAGTTGGCGCCATCCTTAATGAAATTATAAAGGTAGACCAGAAAGAAGAAATAGTAGAATCAATGAAATAAGGAAAACATTAACTGAGGAATACACAGACACACCAATCACAGAGGAGGAAGAAGAAGATGATGAAGCAATATCTGTAAATGAAGGATATAAAGAAAGAAGACGGTTAAAAAGAGATCTTATTTTACCTTATGGAATCGCTTTATCATATTTGTTCTTTGCTTGTAGAGTGAGATTGCTTGATCCTTTTGGAGTGAGATAAAATTAATGTAAGTTTGCTTCTGCAAAGCAACCCTGGGGATTCTGTGGGGGTGAAAGCCATTACTCAACCAAAGAAGAAAACGATGGGAGAGAACTTGCGAGGGAAGTTCTTCTTCGTCAATGTGAAGTATTAAGTCAATTCAAATAATTATACTATTAAAAACGTACAGATTTAGAGACCAAGTCACAACATTGTGGGAATTAGTTTCAGTGCTCATCACTTTGATGAGCACTGTAAGCTCATTAGATCTAGACCAGTTATATCTGATTTAAATTGTTCAAATTTAAAATCTTTAATAATTATTTTTAAATAAAAAGCTATTTTTTTTGAAAAAATAATAGTTAAAAGATTATCTTTATTTTAGATTTTATATATATTAAAATAATTATTTTGAACAAATAAAAATAAAAAAGAATCAAATCCGGACCATTCAAATAAGATATGAAGAGTTCAGATTTAATGAGTTTAAGATGCTTATCATTTGCAATGAGCACCAAAACTAGATTCCAACATTGCGTTTCCATCCTTATCATCTATTTAAATAATATGAATTGAAGTAATCAAATTTCTTGTCCTTGCTGATAGTAATTAATGAAGAGTTGACTTCTACTTCTATCTATTATACTGGCTGAAAACCCGACATTAGGACTGGGAGAGGGAGAGGGCAGAATGCACGACGGATTGGAAGAACGCATGACGAACAAAAAAGTATCCACATTTAGTATCTAATAGTATTTTAAACAGGATTATTTTTAATAAACAAATAGGTCTGGGCAACAAAAAAAAAAGCTAAATTAAAAAAAAACTATACAGGGTTTTATGCTCAACTCTGTCTAGCTAATCGGGTTTGGAAAAAAAAATTGCATAAATTTAATATAGAAGAGTTTATGGGCTACAGCTCATATCAGACCGATCCCGTATGGGTCAGCCAGCCCATTTTGATAGCTCCGAATGAGATAGCATAACCCAAAAAATAAAGTGAAAACTGAAAAGGAAAAAAAGATGTTAAAATTTTGAACATTCAAATATCGCTTTTGCATACTTGAAAACATTAGAGCAGCCAATGGAATAAAATATTTAATGGAAGCAATAGCGACACATGAAGAATTGAAGGGCTGGAGGAATGGGAGAGGCACGCGCACACGATTTTATTTTCCTTTTTTTTAATTAAAAAAAAAGACATCGACCACTTGAGATTTTAAGCGAGATTAAATAGAGGATTGTTAATGTGACTAGGCTACAAGGTCTTTGGTGATTTTATTTTCCAATTGAAGGGAAAATTATAAATTCTTCGCACAAGACGAGAGCATGAATTCTAGCAGCACCCATACAATGAATGGCACAAGTCAGTGTAACAACAACAAAAAAATTTCAGGAGGAAACAAGAAGGGCAATGAACGGCAGGCAATGCAGTCTATCTGACATCTCTACAAACACTTGGGCATCAAAGTGAGTCTCCAAGGTGAAAAATGCAACCAAAATTCTAAAACTGAAATAATGACTTTTTTGACAAAAAGGCTAAACGTACTATTATAAAGAAATAAAAGTTAAGAGTGAATACAACCATGAATTAAACAGGACAGTCGTCGGTTAGAACATGAGGATTTATTAATCATTTGAAAAACAATTTAAAGAAACACTTTCTAAACCCAGTGTCGTTAGGCCGTTCCACAGTAAATTTTGTCATTCGCATATTTTG